AGGACAGTATTAAGACTCCCTGAAATTACATACAATTTTGAAATGGCTGGGCCCTGCGTCTATTTGCTTAACAAACATTTACTGTATACCTACTATCGCCAGGCACTATACTAGACTTGTTATAATCTCTGAAGTTATGGAAGATACAAAGCAACGCAAGTCCCTGCCCACACAGTGTTTTCATTCTCCAAAATTAAATCTATTCCTCTTTTCCCATTTTATTTCTTGCTGCCCCCATCTCCCCACCAATTAGGGATACTGGTGGTGGGAAGAGGGGGACAACAATAAACATCTTTGCAAATACCAGAAAGACCAGGCTGCTACGCAAATACACTGCGTCCCATCGCATTCTTTGACACATCTGGATGGATTTAGCACCAGAAAAAAATCCAGTGACGAAAGCACATCTGGTGCAACGTTTGATCTTTTTTGCTGTCAGCTTTCACTATGTAACTATGGTTAAAAATGACTTCTCAGTGAAGCTGAAAATTCTCCAGGAGAAACATTTTCATTTGTAAGAGAGTGTTTTTGATCTCAGAGAAGTGGAAGAAAAATTACCCTTCGGTGATTTCGGAACATAACTCCACATATCCTTGACTAGCCCCCGAAGACTCTGGAACCAATTGCAGAAGTACAATTCCTTCAAGCCCCTTCCGATTATCCCGGAAGAAGGGATGACAGATGATGAATTTCCAGGCCACCCAGCAAATGGGGAAGCTGAGTGCAGGAGAAAGGGGAGAGAGGCTCCTGCCATCTGGTTGAATGCTCACCTTTTCCACCACAAATCTGGCCCTCTCTGCTTCCTGCTGAGCCACCTGTTTGGCTTCCACCGCTTCTGTGAACTCCTTCCCGAAGGTCAGATGTGTCTAAGGGGAGAGAGTGAGCACAAGATGAGGCAGTGTGATTGCTTAGACAGCACTGCTGGGACGCCTCCACGGCCGCTGGAAGGAAGAGGCCAGCAATGGCTCTAGCAGCTGAAGGCATCTGTGAGGCCAGAACACTCTTCCATCTCTGTATCTGTATCCAAACTGAGTTTACACCCAGCATCTCTGGCTGCCCAACTGCTCCTGTACATTACTCTGTCACTCTCAGTGCAGCGAGCAACCTCATGTAGCAAATGGCGCCTGGGGCTTTTGATGGGGCCCACGGGCACCAGAAGGTATCTATTCAATCGACCACCTCCCCAGAGGAGAACTGTGGGTTCTAAGACCCCCGCCACTGACTAGCGCTCTTCCAAGGGCCTTTGATGCCTTGTTCAAAGCCCAAGGAAGGCCAGATGCAAAACGGGGCCCCTGAGAGCGAGGGAGGCTGCTGGTTCCCAGGGATCCAAGAGCCTGATGCTCTCTGCTTATGGATTAACCAGTCCACTTCTTCCCATAGCAGCTCCACCACTGAACAGGAAGAGGACGAGGGGTGGTGGAACGCAAATCATGCTATTCCCAATGTGAATGGTTCTGTTAAAGGGTTTAAAAGAAAGAGAAAGCAGGTAAAGTCATTGGTCGGGCTGAGGGTTTAGAAGTCTGATGATCCATAGACCTTCCCTAATCATGTCAGGTCTGACGTGACTGTCCCTAACCATAGCACAAACAATGGGAAGGGACCTCAGCATTCCTAATGCCCAGCCTAGAGCAATTTACTTATTCATCCTACTTTTTATTGAAAAAGAATCAAGAGGAGAGCATTGGTTTTGCCATCAGATTCTAGTTGTTTCACTTCCTCCGCTCTCCCAGCCTCCGCTTTTAAAAAAGCAGCCCCGAACTGCTCCTGATGAGTAAATCCTGGTCTCATTCTCTCCCAGAATGTTTAAGCTCCGAACTCTAACTGCAGCTGTTGTACTTCGCCTGATCCATTTCTAGTCTCTCAGTCAAAGTTTGGGTAAGAAAATCTGATCCTGAGAAATGAAAAATGAAATGTATAATTAAGGAATAAAATTTATTTCTAAAAGGGCCAGCTGAGGGCAGCGAATTCCCCATGAAACCTAATTTTCTTCTCACACCTCTTAGACAGGGTTTCCTGTGGTCAGCCCACATTTCCCCAGAATGGAGTATGTGGTTAAAGTCTAGTAAAATGCCAACTTTTCCCTTAGGTTTTTACGCAGCGTTTTCTCACAGCCAAGGTGTTCAGGTTCACAGTAATTACCAGGGGAGGGCCTGCAGAATGGCTGCAGCCTGGCCTCTTGCCAGCAGAGGGAGCCCCAAGCCCCTGGGGGTTCCAGCAGGCGGAGCAAGGTGGAGCAGTGCCCCGGGGTTAGCACTGGGTGTTGTCCAGTGGCTGTTTAAACAGCTGCACAGATGCTGGGGGAAGCGGTGCCTTTCCCTAGCGATGCACGGGAGAACTGAACAGGAAGCACTTTACCTCACTGCCCGAACAAATCACTCCAAATGATTTTTCCCAGAGAATCTAGAAACACGACCCTTCCCCTCACCCTCCTCAACCTGAAACGCTATCCTGCCTGTATTGCTTTCTGTCTGAGTTATGACATCCAATGTCATATAAACACACAAGCTATAGTGTCTCAAGAGGATAGCTTACACCTCAGAGATGTCCCTTGCCCTCTATACCAGGCCTGGGGGAATCGAACCATTCGTTTACACTCTATCACCTTTCACTAGGGTTCCCAGAACTTCCATCACTGAGCTTCGGACTGTAAGTGTTAGGAAACTCCCAGGGGTCAGGCTGGGAGGTCTGTGCTAGGGATAAAGACTACCGAGCTGTTCTCTGGTCTCTACCAGACAGTTTCTGCCTGTGTCAAACAGGGTTAACAAGACATCACTTTCTGGGTAACACAGTTTGGAGAATGTAAAACATTTAGTGGTTAGGGACTATCTGGATACAACCAGAGGTCATAAGAAAAATGTGTGTGGCAGGGGGAAGGCAAAAGAACCCTCAACTGAAAAACCCACAGAGACTGCCTCGCCTCAACATGTTGCTGTGTTTTCAAGTCTCACATCTAGCAAAGCAGAAGCAGGGACCTAATAGTGTCTGCCCAGAAATGGAGCCAGGCACCTAACGAGAACTGCAGCCCCTTCCCCTCGGTCTCCCGAAGGATCTTACCAAGGACACGTCATCCAGGATGAGCCCAAAGGTGGCTGCTCGCTCTGTAAGATCGTCGCTCACCTGCCTGGAGACCAGCTCTCTCTGGGTGATTAGTTCTCCAGCATCAAAGCGAGCCTGGTTTCAAAGGGAGGAGCAGAAGGGCAGGTCAGGTTAATGAGGAAGCAGAAAAGGAACCAGGAAACTGCAGCCACATCCCAACCAACCCACTGCCAAGCGCTTCCTGCCACCTGGCACCCTTCTGGGGGGGTGCTCTGGGCTTGAGGCTAAGGGCCCCTGTTCACTCACCACCACTGACTTGAGGATCTCGGTCGTGATGGATGGCAGCACACGCTCATCATAGTCCTCTCCGATGCTGGTGAAGATGCGAGGAAGCTGGCTAGCGACGGGCCGGAAGAGGATGCGCAGTGTGATGTTGACATTCTGTAAATCTTAGGGTAGGGGACAAACACTGGAGTTAAAAATAAAAACCACTGTAGGAAAACAAGTGCTTTTTTTTTAATTTTTCCTTTTTTTGAGACGGAGTTTTGCTCTTGTTGCCCAGGCCGGAGTACAATGGGACGATCTCGGCTCACAGGAACCTCCACCTCAGGTTCAAGCGATTCTCCTGCCTCAGCCTCCCAAGTAGCTGCGATTACAGGCACACGCCACCATGCCCAGGTAATTCTGTATTTTTAGTAGAGACGGGGTGTCACCATGTCAGGCTGGTCTCAAACTCCTGACCTCAGGTGATCCACCTGCTTCAGCCTCCCAAAGTGCTGGGATTAAAGGTGTGAGCTACCGCGCCTAGCCACAAGTGGTCTTTTATATGGCCTCTCCTACTCCAATTTGCTACAATTTTTATTTATGTATTTTGAGACAGGGTCACATGTTGCCCAGGCTGAAGTGCAGTGGCAAGATCAAGGCTCACTGTAGCCGCCTTGACCTCCTGGGCTCAACTGATCCTCCTACCTACACCTTCCAAGTAGTTGGGACTACACAGGCACATACCACCACACCCAGTAATCTTTGTACTTTTTGTAGAGCTGGAGTTTCGCCATGTTTCCCAGGCTGGTCTCAAACTCCTGGGCTCAAGTGATCCACCTGCCTCAGCCTCCCACAATGCTAGAATTATAGGTGTGAACCATTATGCCTGGTAATTTTTATTTTTTATTTTTAGAGACAAGGTCTTGCTATGTGGCCCAGGCTAGACTCAAGTTCCTGGGCTTAAGCATTTCTCCTGCCTCAGCCTCTTGAGTAGCTGACACGTACCACTGTGCCTGGCTCCAAATTGGCTACAATTTATAAGCAAATCTGCTGATTATAAGATCCTAGAGGGCAAGGAATAGGTATGCCTGGTTTCCTTGGCAGAGAACCCAACAGAGCATCACAAAGAGTTTATAATTTCTTAGAACATTCAGTGATAGCAGCTTTTTGGTATCCCCTGAATGCCCTCAGATACACGTAATTCAGATTATATGTTTACCAGGCGCCATGTAACGCTTGCAACACCGAACATTTTAAGACAATAGACAGACCAATGCTAAGAATTGTAGGGTGAGGCCTTTCCAAGCTCTGGTGATTGTGGCCAAGTCAGGAGTCAGCCTTGGAGAGGTTAGTTTGGGTCTGGTGGAAACCGTGTTAGACTAGCAGTCCAAAGATCTGGGCTATTTACTAATGATGTGGCCTCTCTAAGCCTTAGCCAACCTGAGCTTATTTCCTTGTCTATGAGAATGGGGACAATTTCATTTGCTTTCTGGGCCTTGAGGAAATGTCAGGGAAAACTGAAGGAAAAAACAGTCGTAAAAGCACTCTGTCAAATGTGTAACACATATAAGAGGTTAATAGACCCATCTATGTTCTGCTTCTCATTACTTGGGCCAGTTAAAGGATCCAGGGAGAGAATTATACCTTCCCCTGGACAATTCAGGCCTGCAAGGAGCCAAAGCACTGTCATGGCTTGCTTACAGACGTCAACAATATGGACCAAGCGCCCATGAGACAGAGCTCTGAACTGTGCACCAAGAGAGGTGGGCAATGTATTAATACCGACAACTCCCTGATCTCTGGAAGCTCCTATCAATAGTTTTAGAAATAGGTACATAATGTATCCTGAAAACAACTGCAAAACAGTACAGAAAGAAATCCCAAAGAGGTGGGAAGTTTAGAAGCAGGCTTTTTTTTTTTTTTTTGAGACAGAATCTCACTCTGTTGCCCAGGCTGCAGTAAAGTGGCACGATCTCAGTTCACTGCAACCTCCGTTCCCCAGGTTCAAGCGATTCTCCTGCCTCAGCCTCCTGAGTAGCTGGGAATACAGGCACCCCCCACCACTGGCTAATTTTTGTATTTTTAGGTGAGACAGCGTTTCACCACATTGGCCAGGCTGGTCTCGAACTCCTGACCTCAGGTGCTCCACCTGCCTCGGCCTCCCAAAGTGCTGGGATTACAGGCATGAGCCACTGCACCCAGCCATAAGTGGATATTTCTAAGATTCCATATTGAACTCTCCAGGGCAAGTAGTCCAGTCATTCCTGTGATGTACAGTCCAAACTCTTTTGGATCCTGGTATCCCACAGATGCTCTGGCAACACAAAAGAGCAGAGCACCTCTTCCACACTCCCTACTTTACCTGAACCACAGGCAAGACTCACCTTTGCTACCAGTGATGACCGGCACATTACGTGGTCGAGAACGGCAGTCAAAGATAATTGGTTTCTGTACCCATGGGATGAGAAAGTGAGTCCCTTCCCCTACCACAATGTCCTGTACTCCACGGAACCGGTCAAAGATGACAGCTCTGTGCCCAGCATCCACTAGGAAGAAAGGATAATGACATGTCATAAAAATCTTCTCATCCTTTAAACAAAAGGATCATGTCTTTGAAAGAGCCCTGGTGCTTTCTGTTCACTTATTAAGTCTCCCCTCTTCTCTCTGTCTTCCCCAACTCCTGGTCTCTAGAGACTTCTAAATAGCTACAAAACTAAGCAATCACTTCCTGTTCCACATGTCCCCAAGGATTGGAAATAGGATCTGTTCCTTAGCATCCTTTCTCCTTGAGGGAACTGGCTATTGATTTTCTGAATGACCATTCTATCCCTGAACTCCCACCAACATATTTCCAGGAATCACCTACCAAAACTTCTAAAACTCACTGAGGTCTTCCCAGTTACCACATATCCAAGGGGCTCCAATGTAACCTAGTGCTCCCAGAAGCAGCACCCTCATTATGGGAATCCTACATTTAGGAGGTCCCACTCTTTCTTCCTAATAGCTCTGTTTCTCTAAAGTTTTAAGGGGTTATAGAGCTGTCTTGGCAGAGAGAGAAATTTATGATGGCAAATACTGTCTAGTGGCAGGTGTGGCCAAAAGGATCACAGAACTGCTAAGATGTGTCATATAAGCCAAGCAGGCTTTTCTAATCAGCTGCCTCTCTGAACTTTATCATTGGTCCAAATCTTCACTCTGAAAGTAAAGCTCCTCTTGTCAGCCAGCCACACACCAGATGGGTCAACCTACTGCTGCTTTGCAGCATGTGAAACTGTTAGAATGTCAGAGTTAAAGGGGGTCCTACAGATACAGTCAGGTCAAATCCATTGCTTGACCAATGAGGAAGCTTCCACAAACCCAGCTTAACCCCCCTCCTACACTGTTAAAAGCTGGGCAGTGCACCTCAAAGATATTTCTTCTGAAACTATCCAAATTCAGCAGAGCAAAAGCTCCTGTTCCGGACAAGGTCGCCCAAACAGATCTGCAGCCTTTGCTGTTATTCCACATGCAAGAAGAGGAGAACAAATGAGATCTCCATTTCAGATAGCCAGGGCAATCCAGACACTGCGCAGCAGCATTTGGGTGGTGCGGCTTCACTTCACCTTGACAGGAGCCACTGGACACACCCAACTGGGAAGTGGGCTGGGAGGCTCTTTTTGAATAAAGGCTCTGAGAGAACCTATGACTGAAAGGTCAGGGACTCTGGTAACAGTGCAGTCCTAGGGTATGAAATGGCAAGAGATGAGCCCTCTTGGCCACAAACATATTCACCGACAGCAGCTACCATCAAGAGTGTCACATGGGCTATGCAGACCAACAGAAATCTCCCAGGAAAGTGCAGTGACCCACTGTCCCTCCATGCCTCACCATTATATAAGGCAGAGTTCACCACGCCTCCTGCAACAGCTAAGGCCAGGCCAAACTTGCCAATGGACTCAAACACTTTGGCAGCCATGTTTTCTTCTGCTGGACCCTCTCACACCTAAAGGGATAAAAACAAAATACAATCAAACTTGATGCCAAATCCTCAGAGAAGGCCCTCTCTGACACACAACAGTCACTTTTCAACCAGGCTATTTATTTCCCCATTCCTGAAAGTGCTAAATCATCCATTGAAGGATACCTAATAATGCTTTGTAGCTTGTAAAGTGTACTATCAATGCTTCTGCTTTTTTTCCCCCCCAGTTTCTTTTCTTTCTTTTTTCTTGAGACAGGGTCTTGCTCTGTCACCCAGGCTGGAGTGCAGTGGCGCAATCTCAGCTCACTGAAGCCTCGACCTCCCAGGCTCAATCTTCTCACCTCAGCCTCCCAAGTAGCAGGGTCCACAGAAGTGTTAAATTAGCTAGCCACCACGCCCAGCTAATTTTGTTCATTTTTTTGCAGAGATGGGGTCTCACTACGTTGCCCTAGGTGGTCTTGAACTCCTGAGCTCAAGTGTCCCCCTTGCCTCGGCCTCCCAAGTGTTGGGATTACAGGCATGAGCCACCATACCTGGCTGATTTCTCTTTTTTTTTTCCTCAACCATTTAAAGTAAGGTGTCTGGGACACTTGGTTCAATAATGAAAACAATGCATGGGCTTGAAATCCATAGAGAACTTAGCACCATACTAAACCACCCTCTCATTTCCTGGACAAGCAGGCCCCCAAAAAGAGGCTGTGTGGTTGGATTGCTGCAATTATGGTTTGAAAAAATAACTCGAAAAATGTGCTACATGTTGATGCCAACCAAAAAAGTAACCATTACAGCTAACACTTATATCAGGTAGCCTAATAAAAGAAATTTGTTTACTTCTCACAATTACCCTATGAAGCATATTACTACAGAGGAAACAGAGGCACACAGAGAGGTTACATGAGAAGCCGAGATTGCAGTTATTAAGTGGTAGAACCAGAATTAGAACCCAAAAGTCTAATGCTAGCAGACACAGCTTTCCTCCTCACCATACTGCTTCTCAACATTGTGTATTAGGAACGACCTGCTTCTTATGGAAGCAGGAGCTGGATGACATCCTGGGGCCAAGATAACTTAAGAACCCATTTGGGAGAAAGGCTCTAACTAGTTGCACAGGGACAAAGAGTTCTGGAATAACTGGGAGGGTGGGGCTGAGGCGGGGTGGGCATAAGCACAGTTGACCTAACTAGAAATCACTCTAGCATCTAACTTTCTAACGCTCCGCCCCACCGTCGTTGCCCGCTCCAGCCTCAAATCCTCCCTCCCTACTTCCCAGACCTCAACTCCTGAGACTACCTTTATCTCATCCAGTGCATTTAAATCTTCCTTCTCCAAGGCTGGGACACCTGGCCCTTTCCATTTCTAATGGCTTCTGGATTATTCCTCACCCTGCCCCCATGGACACCTCCCTTACTCTAAGCAACCCCTGGCTCGTCCCGGGCTCAGCCCCTTCTCCCCTCCCTCACAAGTCGGACTCACGCACGCACTCTCCTCGCCCAAAGTGCGCATCATGGAGCACAGGACTGCAGAGACGCCCAGAGACTGGCCTTTGCCGCCCCCTCCATTCTCACCTGCTTCCACTCTGACCTCCACATGAATTCCCGAACCACGCATACTGCACATGCGCTCCTCTGCCCCGCCCGCTTTCCAAGATCCAGGCTTCCTATTGGTGGAGACGAGAGCTGCGAGTTCTGGGAAGGGTGGCTTAGAACCTCACCCTGGTTCCACGGCTCTTAACAGATGAACTACAACTTCCAAAAGGCTATGCAGCGGCGGGCCCGCGAAGAAAAGTGTTTTTTCTTTGGTGATCACCGCGACGATGTTGCCGCAAAGCCTTTTGGGAGCTGTAGTTTCCTGGGGCTAAATGCACGTGCCTATCCTGTATAGCGGCTAAGACTGAGGAAAGGTGAGCCTTAGGGCTCCGGGAAAGAGGAGGTGGGCGTCCAGTTGGTGGCAAAAATGAGTAGGGGCAAGTTTATGACTGATGAAAGAGGACAGGTAGAACTCTGGGGGAAGTCGTGGTGAAATCAGCGGCGGGCTGAGACCCTTTGGGAGAAACGAAGGGCCGTCTTCCTTCCAAAGCCCTGTCTGCAAACGTCCTCAGAGTTGTGAGACATTGATTACCAGACCCAGAGAGAACCATCTGTGCTGAAACACTGAGACCAACCGAGAGGAAGGAATTCATTCAGGGTCATGCACCGAGTGAGAAAAGGGGCTCGGCTTGGAATCCAGGTCCCCTGAACATGATTTTAAAGAAACGTTTTATTTGGAACAGTTGCAAGAATAGTGCAAAAGAACGCACGTTTAACTTTGGCTCAGATTCACCTATTGTTAACAATGTGCTTCATTTGTTTTATCATTGGTTTCTTACCTCTCCCCTCCTCCTCCCGGCCGCCGCTCCGCCGCCCCACCTCCGTGTGCGTGTTTGTTTATTTTCTTGTTTTTGTTTTGTTTTGCTTTTTTGTTTGTTTTTGAGATGGAGTTTCGCTCTTGTTGCCCAGGCTGGAGTGCAGTGGCGCGATCTCGGCTCACGCAACCTCCGCCTCCCGGGTTCAAGCGATTCTCCTGCCTCACCCTCCCGAGTAGCTGGGATTACAGGCATGCGCCACCACGCCCGGCTAATTCTTGTATTTTTAGTACAGACGAGGTTTCTCCGTGTTGGTCAGGCTGGTCTCGAACTCCCAACCTAGGTGATCCACCCGCCTCGGCCTCCCAAAGTGGTGGGATTACAGGCGTGAGCCACCGCGCTCAGCTCTCATTCTAGTTTTTACCTCCATAAGATCAACTCTTTTAGCCCCCACATAGGAATAAGAACGTGACGGCTGGGCGTGGTGATCACGCCTGTAATCCCAGCACTTCGGGAGGCCAAGGCCAGAGGATTGCTTTAGCCTAGGAGTTTGAGACTAGCCTGGGCAACAAAGTGAGACCCTATCTCTACAAAAAAATAAAAATAAAAAGTAGCTGGATGTGGTGGCATGTACCTGTAGTTCCACCTATTCGGGAGCCAAGGTGGTAGGATTGCTTGAGCCTGGAAGGTCAAGGCTGCAGTGAGCTGTGACTGTGCCACTGCACTGCAGCCTGAGTGACAGAGCGAGACTTTGTCTCAAAAAAAAAAAAAAAGTATGGTCATTTTAACAATATTAATTATTCAATCCACCAATCCGTGAACACGAGATGTCTTTGCATTTGTTTGTGTCCTCTCCAGTTTCTTTCATCAGTTTTGTAGTTTTTATTGTAGAGGTCTTTTTCCTCCGTTTTTGTATATTGATTTTGTATCCCGCAACTTTACTGAATTTATCAGTTCTAAGAGATTTTTGGTGAAATCTTTAGATTTTTCTATATGTGAGGTATCATGTCATCTTCAAAGGGGGACAATTTGCCTTGTTTTTTGTTTTTTTTTTTAAGACTACTCAAGTGCAGTAGTGAGAAGTGGAGAAAGAGTAGAACAAGGAGTTCAATCTGTAACTTACTGTGAGATTGAGATAACTCACTACCTTCACACTGGTCTGACTGACTTCCTTTTTTCCAATTTGGATGGCTTTTATTTCTTTCTCTTGCCTGATTGCTCTGGCTAAGACTTCAGTACTACGTGGATTAAGAGTGATGACAGTGTGTAGGGTACAGTGGCTCACGCCCGAAATCCCAGCACTTTGGGAGGCCAAGATGGTCGGATCTCCTGAGGTCAGGAGTTCAAGACCAGCCTGAGCAACATGGAGAAACCCCATTTCTACTAAAAATACAAAAAAAATTAGCCCGGTATGGTGGCGCATGCCTGTAATCCCATCTACTCGGGAGACTGAGATAGGAGAAACACTTGAATCCGGGAGGCAGACGTTGCGATGGGCCCAGACTGTGCCATTGCACTCCAGCCTGGGCAACCAGAGCACAACTCCATCTCAAAAATAAACAAATAAATAAATAAATAAAAAAGTAATGCAAGTGGGCATCTTTGCCTTCTTCCAGCTCTTAGAGGAAAGGCATTCCTCTATTACCTCATTCAATATGATGATTGCTGTAGGTTTGTCATTTATGGAGTTTATTATGTTGAGATATGTTTCTTCTATGCCTAATTTGTTGAGAATATTTATCATGAAGGATGTTGAATTTTATCAAATGCTTTTTCTGTATCTATTGAGATGATCATATGGTTTTTGTCCTTCATTCTGCTGATGTGATGCATCCACGGTTATTGATTTATGTATGTTGAACCATCTTTGCATTTCTGGAATAAATCCCACTTGATCATGGTGTATTATCCTTTCGATGTGCTGTTGGATTTTGTTTACTAGTATTTAGTTGAGGATTTTTGCATTGATGTTCATCCAGGATATTGGCCTGCTGTTTTCTTTTTTTGTTGTGTTTTTGTCTGATTTGGGTGTCAGGGTAATTCTGGCTTTACAGAATGAGTTAGGAAGAATTTCTTCCTCTTCAGTTGTTTTGGAATAGTTTGAAAAAATTGGTCTTATTTCTTCTTTATAAGTTTAGTAGAATTCAGCAGTGAAGCCATCTGGTCCTGGGCTTTTCTGTTTTGGGAGACTTTTTATCACTAATTCAATTTCATTTCTCGTTATGGGTCTCTTCAAGTTTTCTGTTTCTTCCTGGTTCAATATTGGTATGTGTCCAGTTATCCATTTTCTCTAGGTTTTCTAATTTATTCGTGTATAGTTGTTCATAATAGTCTCTGATGAATTGTTGTATGTCTCTCGAAACAGTTGTAATGTTTCATTTTTTATTTCTGATTTTATTTATTTGGGTCTCCTCTCTTTTCTTCTTGGTGAGTCTAGCTAGCAGTTTGTTTATCCATTGAAACAAACAATGTCTAATTTCATTGATTAAATTTTTTTCACTCTGTTTTGTTTTGCTGTGCTGTAATCATTATTATTCTTTTCCTTCACCTAATTTTGGGTTTGGTTTGTTCTTGCCTTTCTAGTTCCTTGGGGAGCATTGTCAGGTTGTTTATTTGAAAACGTTCTAGTTTTTTGATGTAGGTGCTTATTGCTATTAACTTCTCTCTTAGCACTGCTTCTGTTGTATCCTATATATTTTGGTATGTTGTGTTTCCATTTTCTTTTTTTTTCTTTTTTTTTTTTTTTGAGATGGAGTTTCGCTCTTGTTGCCCAGGCTGGAGTACAATGGCATGATCTTGGCTCACCGCAACCTCTGCCTCCTGGGTTCAAGCAATTCTCCTGCCTCAGCCTCCCGAGTAGCTGGGATTACAGGCATGCGCCACCACACCTGGCTAATTTTGTATTTTTAGTAGAGACAGGGTTTCTCCATGTTGGTCAGGCTGGTCTCAAACTCCTGATCTCAGGTGATCCGCCTACTTCAGCCTCCCAAAGTGCTGAGATTACAGGCATGAGCCACAGCGCCCAGCCTGTGTTTCCATTTTCATTTGTTTCAAGAAATTTTTTGATATGCTTCTTAATTTTGTTCATTGACCCAGTGGTCATTTAAGAGTATATTGTTGGCCAGGCGCGATGGCTCATGCCTATAATCCCAGCAGTTTGGGAGGCTGACATGGGTGTATCACTTGAGGCCAGGAGTTCAAGCACAGCCTGGCTAGTGTGGCGAAACCCTACTCTATTAAAAATACAAAAATTAGCTAGTTGTGGTAGTGCGCATGTGTGATCCCAGCTACTTGGGAGGCTGATGCAGGAGAATCACTTGAACCCAGGAGGTGGAGATTGCAGTGAGCCGAGATTGCACCACTATTCCAGCTTAGGCAACAGAGTGAGACTCCGTCAAAAAATTAAATAAATAAATTAAATAAATAAATAAATAAATAAAATGAAAAATGGGCCAGGCATGGTGGTTCATGCCTGTAATCCCAGCACTCTGGGAGGCCGAGACTGGCGGATCACCTGAGGTTGGGAGTTCGAGGCCAGCCTGACCAACAGGGAGAAACCCCGTCTTTACTAAAAACACAAAATTAACCAGGCATGGTGGCACATGCCTGTAATCTCAGCTACTCGGGAGGGTGAGGCAGGAGAATGGCTTGAACCCGGGAGGCAGAGGTTGCAGTGAGCTGAGATCACGCCATTGCACTCCAGCCTGGGCAACAAGAAGAAAACTCTGTCTCAAAAAAAAAAAAAAAAAAAAGTATGTTGTTTAATTTCCATGTGTTTTTACAGTTTCCAAAGTTTCTCCTTTTATTGAGAAGATACTTGAAGTGATTTGATTTTTAAAAAATTTCTAAGACTTGTTTTGTGTCCTAACATATGGTCTATCCTGGAGAACGTTCCATGTGCTGATAAGAAGATTATATATCCTGCAGCTGTTAGATGAAATGTTGGGTAAATGTTAGGTCCATTTGGTCTGGAATCTAATAGTTTAAGTCCAATATTTCTTTGTTGATTTCTGTCTAGATGATCTACCCATTGCTGAGAGTGAGGTGTTGAAGTCCCCAACTGTTACTATATTGGAGTCTATCTCTTTATGTATTTATTTAGGAGACAGGGTTTCACTCTGTCACCCAGGCTGGAGTGCGATGGCACGATCTCAGCTCACTGCAGCCTTGACTTCTCAGACTCAACCAATCCTCCCACCTCAGCCTCCCCAGTAGCTGGGACTATAGGCGCATGCCATCACGCCTGGCTAATTTTTTGTACTTTTGCAGA